ACAGACTGGGAGGCAGGAAGGTAGGAAGGAGTTAAAGCCTGGAGGAAGCACAGCACAGCTGCTGTTTACTTTTTTTTTGCGGTGGCTGAATGGCTGCTAAATTATAATTATTAATGAGTGTATGAAATGAAATTAGAATTTCACATTAGCGTTGATTATGTGCGTTGCATAATGGAGCTGCGGCCATGCGGCGTATACGCAATACGTTTTTGTGTGTGTGGCTGTGTCTGTACGCAGTCCCATCTCCGTCACCTGCAATGCACGATGGGCCCTGGGCCCTGCCCTGCCCTGCCCGTGTCTATAAATATGAAAATATATACATATCGCTCTGCATATTTGAACCCAAATGTGTTCGTATATAGTGTGAAACATTCATATGCAGATACATACATACAAATGTACATAAGTACAAGTATATAGCCATGCGCTTTTTCTCTGCGGAATCGTTGGTTTCTTTTCTTTTCTGTTCGTTTCGTTGCTGGTTTTTTGTGTGTGTTATTTCTGGTGGTTCGCTTGGCCATAAATGGGTGAAGGTTAAGCAACGTAATATACGGATGGCCGAATATAAATACAACAACTATGCAGCCGTAGCAGCAGCAGCGGCAGCAACTTTATGCCCAACTACGAGTACCGTCCGTCCATTGCCATGAAAAGTGTGCGCCCATACATATTCAAGGCATGGAAAATATGCAGCGGCAAGAACCAATACCAATGCTGAGCTAGGCGAAAACAAGAGAGCCACAAAGAGAGGCGGCAGCTAGCACAACATGCAACACCACGACTGGGGGAGGTCTCAAGGGGCACACAGAGACAGAGCAACGGCAGGGGCTTCCCATGAAAACAAAATCAAAAGCTCACAATTAGGCCAAACGAACGGCAGACCAGAGAGAGCGCAGAGCGAAGAACGAAGAGTGGCAAAGATAGTGGCAGAGGGCAGAAGCAGCGACATGCAGTGTGTGTTGCATGAGTATGCTGCATTGTGTGTTTGTGTGTGTGTATATGTAAATTACTTGGGGGCAGTGAAGCCAAACTGCGAAACTATGTCGCTAGGTCGCCTGTCAATACAATAAAAGGGGGGGACGGGTTTACGAACACACGGTTTCCCACAGGGGGAATCGAATCAAATCGATGTCGTGTTTGCAGGTGCCCAAGCCAAGGTGCGTCTATGAATTATCCATAAATAAAGGCAGAGACAGAGCCACAGGCACAAGCAGGGCAGGGCAGGGGAAGATACAAAGTCAGAGGCAGTCAAATGGCAAAACGAACAGACACAAAAGACTAACACAAACACAAAGAACTTATGCCAAGACTAAGGTAAACAAGTGGGCAGGTCTCTCTGCCACACAACCACTCTTTCCCCCTCTCTGTTGGTTCCTCTCTGTGGCTGTCTCTGGTGCACGCTCAAGTGGTTAGACCTGGATATATTGGTGCTATTAAGAAAGGTGTCAATAGATATGCCTGCTTCAAAATGTGGAACTGTGCTTAGTTGCAGCTGACAAACAGAACATACTTAGAAAGATATTAATCTTTTGAATAGTTCCTCTAAAAAATATACAAGACCATGTCGATCCTAGCTGAATATATTACAAATATGTATATCCTTAAACAAGGGACAAAAGTACAACTACTAATTGAAACTGCACCCACAAGCTGTGCACATTCTTCTGCTCTCTCGCTTCTACCTCACTGACAATAATTAATTTCCTCGTTTATTCTCACAGATGAAATATGAAATCAAATTACTTGGCAACCCTGGCTGACAATGAAACAAATGTTTGTTTGTGCGCTTTATTTTTGGCATTTTAATTAAAAATTGCCCTAGTTGTCGAGTTGTTGGACGAGCCTGGCGACAGTTTTGTACTGCACTTGGGCCGGGCCAAGAGATTTTCAGATTTCAACAGCAGAAGCACAACCAGAAGCTCTTTTGGCAGTCGAAATGGTAGATAGGAAGAGATACATATGTACATACATATGTATATACTCTGCACATATGTACATATATAGGGTGAGAGAGAGATAGGGAGATAGCGACAAGCAGTGTCCCAATTTAGCCAGAATCGATGCTTGGCAGCAGGCGCGCAGGGGCCTGGGCGACAATGTAATTCATTCAGATTCAGCCGGATTTTATCCCCTCCCTGCCCACCACCCAGCACACCCTGCACATGGCATTACTGCAAAAAACAACAACAGCAACATTCTCGCTTAAGGTATGCACTGTGCACTGTTGTTGCCTCGTTCACCTGCTGCCAGAGTTGCCAGACCTACATGTGTATCACACAATACTGCACCTTCCTGCTCTTAGCTTTCTTCCACCCAAGCCAAGGTATATTAAACAGATGGTATGGTGTGTGGTCTCACTGGTTTTGATTTTTGCGGCATCTACGAATCCGGATTAAAGCCAAAGCCAATCGATCTTTGATGAGTTCGGATCTGTTGGTACTTTTTCCTTTGCCTCACCTTACGTTTGATATTCCCTGCTCCCACCTACCATCTCGCCCACGCCGCCACGCTCTCTTTCACTCTCATTATGGCTATTATGTATTTGGCTTCGGAAGAGATTCTCTTCTACCTTATTGCTTATTGCTTATTGTGTCTGTTTATCGTTTTTCGTTTGCTTCTTTATTTCTCTTTTGTTGCTGTTACGTCACTCGCGCACTCAGGTATTTCATTAACAGTAATTCCATTCCGCGCAGATGCCTCTTCAAACGAGTAAAAATAACATTTTTGTTTTTGTTTTTCATAATTACAAATGCAACTAATTTGTTATTGCCCCTGCGGGTTGAGTTTGTTTTTTACTTTTTTTGCTTTGTTTGCTCTTTGTTTTTTGTTTTTTGTTTTTAGCTTTTGGTCTCATTCGATGTGATGACGCTGTGAACTTGAGCAGCCTCAAAGTCGATGGGTTATTGCCGTTCCCCGTTCCCCGATCCCCGTTGTTACGGCTTACCTCTAATAACATTCAATTGATGCAGCCAATTAACAGCCATTGCCCGCTGCAATTGCAAACAAACAAAACAAAAAACGCGACACCGACAGCGATATCTATCTGAAGGCATTGGTGGCAATTATAAAATTGTTGAATATTTATGGGCAGGGCAAGGCAAGGTCGAGAAATGGGGTTTTCAAGCCGCCGGCGCCGCGTCCGCAGGTGAATTAAAGATCATCAAAAGCTCAATAATAGGCCTGAACAGCTGATCCAGTGGATACATTTTATACATACATGTTTACACATGCAATAGATATCACTTAAAAGCGCAATTAAATGGATTTAAATTTTATGAAGAGAAGTTAAGGTCTGTCATTAACTGATACGGAAAGAGGAAGGGATTTACACAACGATTATACGAAATAGCGAGATGAAATAAACCAAAATTTGTTAAAAATGTTAAATGAAACTTTTAATAAGTCATCTCATGGGATTGAATTGTTTAAGAGGCCCAATGCAGTGGATTCAGATGAACTTATGATAATGAAAATACCATCTTAACAGAAAATTAACAACTGATCGCTAGTAGAACAGCTTTCTGGGTCAGACATGTTCCATTGATGAAGTTCATTCTCTTAGTTTCATCTCGCACAAAAGTTCTGGCATTTATGGATCCCTGGGGGCTTGAGTTTTCATTCTCAAAGCAACCAAATCTACCAAAACCTTCTAGTAACTCTAAACTTCTTCGTCATCCATAAGTTACGTACCCCACTTCCCTTGTGTAAGGGCCTATACAACTAGTTTCAACCCTACAAAATTGCGTCTCGTTTTCGGATCTTGAAAGTGATTCATTTTTGCAATTTTCATTTTCGTAAACCAATTTAGGCGGCTCAAAGTTTTTCCTAGAATCTCCACTCGCTTTAATTTACTGCTAACATTGCAGTTTTGCATTCTGGGAGGCCTCGATTATGGCCCCAACGCACACACACACACAAACACACACACACAGTCGGAGGCACGCATTTAGGGCTCGGACTCGGCTAATAAGCCGAGTGAGTGGTGGGGAAGGGCAAAGAGTACCCGTCTCGTAACCATTACGGCAAATAGGTTAACAGCAGTTTCGTGCCTTTTGCATGGAAATTTCTCTGTGTGTATATGTGTACATGCATATATGAGAGAGTGTGTGCTTGTTTACATAAACCTTTTCTCGTTTTTGGGCTTTCCTTTTTTCTTCTCAGCTACTTTGTCCCCTTACAGACTTTTTCTGTTACTCTGCTGGTCCTATACATGTGCCTGTGACTGTGGCTGTGCCTATACCTCTGCCGCAACAGCAACAGCAGCAGCAGTTTAACCCACATACGAACGCTGCTCCACGAAATTGCGCAACGGGGGTGGGGATGTGCTGCTGGGAGGCGACCGTCTGGGGGCGGGTGTAAATGCAAATGAAACGAAACGACAGACAAGCGGACAATTTAATGCCCATTTGCATTTAACAGCAACAGCAGCAGACATAAAACTAGAATCAAGTGTCGGGTTAGAAGGTGAAACGAGCAACTGGATGAGCAAAAGGGAAGCAGAAAAAAGTAGAAAGAGGGAGCGACAATGACAGAAACCGTAATAGAGCCTGGTGCAGGAAGGTGGGGGGTGGAAGATGACCGACTGCGCAAAACGGGACGGCAGGCAGAAAGGATCGGCATAAATAATCTACTGATGCGTGAGATTTCGTAAAAGAGTAAGACGCAATTTGTTTTGTTGGAAAAAGACGTAATTTCCCAGAATTTCCAACCCTCGCTGGAAAGCTGAACAGATATTTGGAATTCCTGGAAAACCAAAGCGCTGAAGAGGCAAACAAATATGTGTATTTCAGATCCACGCAAAAGACATCTATAGTGAAGCTACTGCGGAATTCAACTGCAGAATATCCACTGCAAAGGATTCCCTGCAATGCCTCTGTGGAGAATCCGCTGCGTAGCTCAGCTATAGATGATCAATTGCTCTTCCCACACCCAGCACCCAATTATTCTATGCTTAAGGCTTAAAGAGATCGATCTTACATCTAGTTTTTAGATATATTCACCTTTTTGCAAGGAGTCGTGCATACAGCTGCAATTAATTTGAGTGTGGCTATATAAGAACGACTATATATGGTACTTGGATACGCTCTATGTGGATATCGCTTTATGCTGGGCTTACTTTACTTGACTTTACAATACAATATGTACGCGTACGTTATTACTTGTTATATTATAGTATTCAATTATTCAATTATTGTTTTATGTGTGACGCGCGACAGTTGCTTTTGTTGTTGTTGTTGCTGTTTCTGTTGCTGCTGTTGCTGTAGCTTCTGTTGGAATTTTCTTGTTAGTTTATCAACTTTGTTTTGACTCTGTTCTTTGCCTCTCTCTGCTCTCTCGTTATGCGCTGATCAGCAGCTAATGTTGCTATCGTTGTTTTAATACTCTTCTTAAATTTTTGTTGAATTATATAAAACGAGCACACAAATGGACACAACACAACCACGCGCTCGGCCGAACAATTAGTGATGCAAAATCGTTGATATCGATCTTTCTCAGTGATCTGTAAAACTATCGACGAATATGGAAAATCCTTTTCTGAAGCAAACAATTAGTTTGGCGTTTTATCTGGGTGCCCCTTTCGCTGTTGCTTCTTTTTCTCTTTTCTGTTTTCTGTGTTTCGTGCGCTTCACGCGGCGCCTTGGTCTTTCCCCGTTGCGCGTTTGAGTGATTATGTGAATATGTGAGTGCTTTTGTCGATGGTTATGAGTGTGACTGTTATTTCGCACCAAATTCAAATATCACACTCAGAGAGAGGGAGAGAGTGGCGCCGAGAGAAAACGAACCGAAACGAATCTCATGAGAGATTCTAAGCTCTCAAAAGTTACTCTCTCTCTCTCTATGTACTGTATACATATACATATTTCTCTCTGGCACTCTTTGAGTATCTGTGTGCCACGTACACGTGCCTGTCTGATCACATTTCTATCTAAAAGTGTATAAATGTGTGTTTGCTGTTGCTCTGTTATTTCTTTGTCTCTTTTGCGCGTATTTTCTAGATTGATTTTTTAAAGGTTTTCCTTTTATTTATTTGAATGTTAAAGGGGGAACTGAAATGCGCTACGCGGTTGTTTGTTGTAAAATGTATTTCAAATATTGCACAAAAACGGTTCAACCTTAAGCTTTTGCTCTCTCTCTCTCTCTCGCAACCACCGAACACATGGCTCTCATCTCTCTCTGCCTCTCTGTGTTTTTCCTCTCTCCCACCGACAGTTGCTTATTAGGGCACTAGGTTTTCATGCAAACGTTGGAAAATTGCTGCACGTTCACACACACAATCACACACACTTATGAAGAGCGACATTTTTGGGACAAACTCATGCATTTCCTGTGCAACTGCCAAAAGCTCGCTGCGAACGAGGGCTGCAGGCTTCAAGCGTTTTGCCTTGAACAAATTGAACTTCTATCGGATTTTGCCACTCAAATTGTTTATGACATAATAACTGAGAAATGCCCAGGCCATATGTTTGCCCCGACAGAGAGTGAGTGAGAGAGAGAGCATTCCATGCGGAGGGAACGTGAATATGGGGAGAATAACGAGAAAAACTCGTTGGGGACACACAAACGAAAACGAAAAGCATTTCAAATAAAATAGTATATAAATTATGTATACGCGCTGTGTGCGTTGCGTTTTATCAGCCTTCGGCCTCAGATTCAGATTCAGCTTCTGCCTTAGCTTGCAAGCGCTAATCAAGTAAGCGGGAGGCGGTGGGCGGAGAAGAGAGACAAAAAGCTTTGCACACACACACACACGCACACTGGGAGAAAAAGAGTGTGTTGGTGCTGCTTTGACACACTTTTTTATGACGTCGTTGATTTTAATTTCGTTTGCTCGTTCCAACGTTTTGTTTTTGGTGTGTGTGTATGTTCTCGTTCTCGTTCGGCTCTTAGCAGGAAGGAGCTTTGGTTGCCTGACATTCGAATTGAGCATTGGAATGGGTTCCAAGGAGGCACAGGGGGGAGAAGAGCTCGCTCCTTCTCCTGCAAGGGAATGTTTGTTGATAACATATCCACGAATCATCTGATAAATTAACACATGTTTTCTGGTTAGCTCCTCTCTCTCTCTCCACAACTGATGCTTCCAATCGGATGGGATGGATGGAGAGGCATCTCCTTCCAGTTGGAAGTGGAATTGTTTTTGGTCTTGGGGGTTTACCAAGTGTTAATTAAATTTTGTTCAAAATCTAGCGCGTTACAATTTCAGTTTCTTTTTTTTATATACTTTTGGTACATGTGTGTGTGTATGTGTGTGTATGGAATGTGTGCATGTGTGAGTATTTATGTAACCAGCCTGACAAACGAGCAAGCGAGAGAAAGAGCGAGGCAAAGCGCACATGCCAAGGCATAGATACTTTTTGGCATTGAAACAAAACGTAGTTCACAAGAAGCACACGAACACTACACACACTGGCAAACACTGGCACACAGATACGGATACGACACGAAAAAATAACTTAGAACGAAACCAAACGAAACGCAAAGAGGAACCAGAACTGAGAACAGTAGAACAGAGCTTAGAGGGGAGATACATAGCACATACATATACACACAACACCACACCACACCACACACTTCTATGCCTCTCTCTCTATCTCTCTCCCTCGCTCTTTCTCTCCATCCCATTCCCTCTTACTGTGGGTAGCGCGTGTGTGCATTATTTAATTTAATTTAATTAAATTTTATTCCGTTCATTCTCATTAGACAGCAGAGCAGCCAAACCAAAACGATAGCAACAGCAGCAGCTTGGACGTTGAAGTTGACGTTGACCCAGCGTTAGCCCACTTTGAGATACTTTTGGGCAGCACTTTTTTAATTGGTTGCTCGAAAAGCACTTTTGTTTAGATACGGTTTTCGATTTGATAGATTGTTGTTTTGGATGTTGCAGAACTTTGTGCTTATTTCGCTTCACGAACACGCACACTGACTAACACACACACACACACACACACACACACACACAAACTCAGTGGCAGTCACAGGCTGTGTATCAGTGTGTGGGCTTTTGTGGCATAAACATATAAACAAAACTCACAAACGACGACGCTGGGACGCTGTGACGACTCGTCTATGAATCCAACTGAACTGAAAACAGAAACTGAGGAGCTGAAAACTTGAAGCAGCGTTTGCTGCTGAGATTTCTGTACAGAAAAATTCCGATGGTTTCGTTCCCCATTCGGCGGGGCCCGATGGTGCATAGTGGTTGTGCACCCATACACCCAAACAGTCGAGAGAGTCAGAGAGCAGCGCCTGTGTATCTGTGTGTATTGTGGTCGAAATTGTATCTCAATCCCATTGCGTATATTTCGGTTTTGCTTTCGAATTGGAAATGAGCGGGCCACAGAGAGAGAGCCAAGAGAGCTAACTGCGCAGCGGAGAGAGAGAGAGGCGGCTCTCTCGACTGCGTGAAAACAACCACTTTACGCTCAAATCGGATTCAATTTGAATTTCCATTGTGCATTTTCCAAGCAGATACCCCCTCTCCCACCCAGCACGTATCGCAGCATCTCCAGCGTCGTCGCATTTCCTAGATGACTCTCAGAAATCCAATAGGTCATAAAGGCCATAACAATGCCCCCGTATAGATAGCCAACTAATGCCACTGATAAGACCAGGGAACATGCACTGTGTCCCACTGTGTCATTTTGAAACTAATCCGCATCACGTGGAAGGCGGCTAAAACACACTTCGCTACACAAGTGAGACTTCTCAATTTATTTAAATTGGTATTCAAAATTCGCAGATAGGCAGGCCTTCGATTTGCCTTGCAATTGCAGTAGTTTCCTCATTATCACTAATCCTATAAAATAGTTATAGTTACATCTCTTCCGAATTAGACATAAAATTGATTGCAAGGACAGGGGAGGATTCTAGAGATATCACAAAACATAGAAAACTACATAAAATAAAAACAAAAAATTATGAAATTACAGGAGTGGCGAACCCCCCTGTAAAGTCAGTGCGTCAAATGTTTCCACTATCCCCGATGGAAGCATGAATAAATAAATTATGCACATTTCAAGGAATGCGCAAGGTCTTTCTGGTGCGGACAGTGCTGCTTAAGTGTTTCGACGTAGCTGAGATTGCTTATTGCGTCAGAGATTCATGTGTTGCTGTACTTTGTTCCTGTTTGTTTCCTTCTCAAATTCTGGGTACCCGTTCCTGGACCGGGCAGATCAGCTCGATGTGGGGCTCGATACGGAGCTGTGGCTGGTTACATAGGCCTCCGTCTCCATGGGACACAAAGGTGGCGCAATTAGCGGATCAAAGTGTTCCAGGATCTGTAGGAAGGTAAGCGTAGTGCGTTCACAGCGGGCTGCGTTCGGCATTAGGTGGCACACATCGAACTACAAAGAACAAGAAAATGTATGAAGAATCAATAAATAATTAAAGATTAAGATTAAGATTACCTTCTCCGTTTGCTGCTCTTCACCGCCACACTGCATTAGATTCGTGCGATGCAGCACGTAGCCCACACGCTGCGTCTTGGCCGTGTTCTTGGTGAGACGCCGCATTACGGTCACGTCCAGATCCTCGTTGGCCGAGATATGATTGCTACCAAACTGCCCCTGAGCTCCGGTCCACTCATTCTCCATATAGATGAACTTATCCAGGGGGTCCAATAGCGACTGCGATGCCTTGTGGGCAACGCTGGTCAAGTATCCGGCTGGATGGACCTCCGTAGGCCGGCCACAGCCACCTATGTTCTCCAGCACCAGACGATAGATGTGCAGCACCGGTTTGTTGTCGAGCACACCCTGACCCAGACCGCGTTCGTCGTCCCTGGCCAGGCGGCGATCCTGCATGATTTCCATTTCTCCAGGGGCCAGCGAGGAGCCGCCCAACGGTTGTCCTGTGAGCAGAGTCAGTCGCATGTTCGCATCTTCGATGAACATGGCCGATGGCACCGGATAGTAGTTTGCCTGCAGCGGCAGCTTCCACAGGCGCCGCCGCCGAATGTGCTGCAGTCCATTCAGATCCGTGTAGAATATGTTCCGGCTGTCGATTTGCGTCTGCAGACGCATTACGATCTCCGTGTTGTCCATCACACCGATGTCCACCAGATTGCGTATCTCTGGTGCCCCGCCGCGCATTATCGTCTGATGGATCACATTGGGCAGACCCACAGACACTGTCGACTCCAGCTTCCCTTCGGAGACCAGCACCACGGGATTTGTGCTGGGGTAGGGCGAGGCCGGTCCATTGGGCAGAAAGAGGTAGGCCCCAGAGCGATCGCCG